GTGAATGCTCCAACACTGGAAGTTTTTAAGAAGAGACTGGACAGCCATTTGTCCAAAATGGTATAGGGTTTCCTGCCTGAGCAGGGGGTTGGACTAGATGACCTCCAAGGTCCCTTCCAACTTTACTATTATTATTATTATTATTATTATTATTATTATTATTATTATTATTATTATTATTATTATTATTATTATTATTGTAGTAGTAGTAGTAGTAGTAGTAGTACTAGTAGCAAAACTGCTACTAGCATGGTAGTATTATTGTCAATAAATCTAAACTATTATGTGCAAATATCGGAATGAAGCCATTAAGATTAACACACACTACATAATGAAACACATAAAGAGTCCACATGAAATAAAACAGACAGCTAATTCTGGACAAGTGTGACCACTGATTTTTGAATAATTAAGACCTCTAGTCAATCTAACAAACTAATATATTTTCCATGTATAGAAAGTCATAAACCCTGTAAGTGTAAGTTAAATGTTTTGGTGAATCAGTTGAAAAGTCCTGTAAGTTTTAGGTAATTATATTAAGCCACTGATTATATTAATGCTAAAGAATAATGTTTTTCAGATTTCAACTACTTTTTCTGCATTTTTTTTTAAAAAAGCATTCTCAATAAATGAGAAGTTGTAACATGAAACAGCACTGTATCACAATTTTACAAGTTCTGGACTTGTAAATACTATAACAATCGGAATAAGTATAATATAATAATTTAAGTCTTTCTGATTATAAAAAGCTGACCCAGAAAAGGCATTCAGGAATTTGGGAACAATTTTGAATTTATTTTTTGATTTCTAAAATAAATGTAAAGCTTTATTTATATGTTCATTTTTTTTCAGGTGTCCCCAGTAATACACTATTTTATCTCTTTTAACACTTTAATATATAAAATCTATATTTAATATATTAAGCATTTTAATGTCTTTGAGGGAAAAGGGCAGTTCAGAAATGTGAAATATATATAAATAAATAAAGCACAGTAGATTATACACAACAGATATAAGACATTAGATGCAATGTACATAGGTAAAGGAACTTTATTTTATATGCAGTATTTACATATTTTCGTGTATTATAGACTAACACCATAAGTATTTTTATTTGATATCCAAGAGTCAAGATGAAGAATAACAAATTATAACAATTTTGGTGGTAGTTTTAACAACGGTTCATATCTGTTGTAACCATATCCATGTATCACGAATCTTACGTCATAACTGAAAAGAACCAGATATTTGACTGTTTTAACGTCTCTCCTATTCGTGGGGTAAAAATCTGATACGAATATACACCAAAATTAATTGTTGACAGATCTACAAAAAGGCGCATTTAGAATGGAAGCAATCAGGATAGTTAAACAACTGGTAAAACAAATAAACCATAGTATGTATTACCAGAAGGGAAAAATAAAACTTTTTAGAGTATACAAATATTATATTGTTTTATGTTAATATTTCACATGGAACGTTCATTTTTGTTCAGAGGCCCACTGCCTGTTCCATAAAAGACAAACGCTAATATAAGACGTTTGTAGGATTTCCTATAGCGTGAATTGCTAAACAGATCAGCATGTTTTCACTAACAATTTACCTCAATTCAGTGATGTTTTCTTTTCATGCATAAGATTCTATACCCAAATTAATATACAAACTTGTTTGTAGATAAAAAATATCTGGAAATCTTTGAATTGACATTCTATTAAGTTCAATTTTCCTTAGTAAACTTATTAAAAATGTATTTTCTACTAAATATATTTAGGAAATCTGTCAAATCATATTGTCTTTTAGAAAAACAGGACAGAAGAATCCAAAATAGAAATGTCGGTACCTTAGATCATCTTTAGTAGATTTATGGGGGGGGGGGAATATGATCTTCTTCATACACTGGGTACATAAAAATAGAGAAATCTCTTTGATACCCAAGAACTCTGTGTGCTTGGAAACTACCCAACTAAACCGCTATGAATTTATATGGGATATACATAAATGATCATTTCTTCTTAGTGCAAGATCAAAATATATATTTCCATCAATAATCACATATTTTGAGATTTAAATTTCTTCTGATATTAACTTCTAGATGTTAATGTGTTTAAAATAGTTTTAAAAATGAATCACGCGATCAGCTATTACCCACGTTTGCTAGTTCCTTTTCAAAAGCAAAGTAGTGAAACATTAATCTGAATATTTATTCTGTTTTTGCTATGTTTTACTTAACATATAAGAATAAATATCCTCATATGATGAACCAACTTATAGATTAAAATTACTATAACCAGAAATAAGGTTGTTGTCTTATTGTCTTGAGTGGTCTATATAAGAACATATGAATGCACATGTATTTGTGTGTGTGTGTGTGTGTGTGTGTGTGTGTATTTCATTTGAGGAATAATGTAGTATTATTTCATTCTCACTTTGAACCATCTCTTATCATCAACTTCTACTGAATTCTGTTTTAAAAATAAACAAAATGTGGTAGGGAAAAAGTTATTTTTCAGAACCATGTTGCAGAAGGCCAAAAGAAAGTAAAATGCTATTTTGGGATGTCTATATAACATGAATTGTAGAATACATCCTTATTATAAGCATCCACAAGGAAAAAAAAACTTCATGAGATCAAAGTCCAAGTGTAACTGCCACTTAATTTATCTGCCTTTACAGACAAAAGACAGTTTTCGTCATTTTCAAAGGATCCAATGTCTTTTATGACAAACAGGGTTTGCAGTTTAATTTACAAATAGAATTATAAGTATGGCATCATTGCTCTGCCAAAGCAAATGACAAACAGAGTAGAGTTTTCAATTCATGCCATCCTCAGCAGGATGGAAGAGATTAAAATAAAACTGAAATAATTTAAACAAAACAAATAAATGTTTCAGAGAGTTGAAGGAGATCAAAGTATGCATTTTCTGACCCCACTCTACAAGCATTTCTTATTATATTGACCAATGTCATCAGATCATTAATTAAAAGGAGAAGTGCTGGCAGGTGGCAGGAACCAGAAGCCGATAATTGGCCCCCTTCTTCTTTTTGCCTTCAAAAACTCCTTTTTCCCCCTTGCAATATATGCCACTAGGCAGACAGAAATGCCTACTTTGTAATATAATGATTAAGATGAGATGAAGAGACTCTTGCGTTTAAAGCTGCTATGCCTAATGAATGCAGCAAGCTTTATAATTATGATCTCCCCTTTTCCTTCACAATAAGAAATATGACGTTCCTTCCACTCAACATTTCCTCAACTGTCAAAAGCAAATAAACAAACAAACAAACAAACACAACAAGACACCATTAAATAGGAAATCTATAGCTGATAACGTAATGTTTGGTGGGGGAAGGTATTCTTTTTTTTTTTAACTTAGCAAGGAAAAATAAGTAATTCAAACAAAGAAGATAAAACCAACTAGACTTACCACTTCACTTGGTAGATTGCTCAGGTCATTAAATGGTGTTTCCAATGTATTTGTGTCAACATTTAGCATCACCACATCCTCCAGTGATTTACTTTTGACTCTCTGAAAAATATCCATGTAAGCATTTGAGGCTTCTCTTTCTGATTTTCATTAAAAAGTTATCATATTCTCAACATACAAATCTAAATGGTAAACAAACAAGCAAACAAACTAGGGATGAAGCAATCTAGGTCACAAAGAAATAAGCCAATATTTCCATGGCAGCATTAAGTATCAAGAAATTTCCTTACATAATGCATCATTACCATAATTAATTAAATTTAGAGTATTAGAAATAATACCCATCAAGACTATTAGTCGCAATGCCTCAATAGGATCTCCTTGTTCAAGAGTCTTCTGTCACTGTATAAAACATTCATCCAATATTTGCTTAGCCACTGTAAGAAATAAGATTCTAGAACAAGTGGACATTTGATCTGGTTCAGCAGGGAACTCCTTACAACTCCTCTTTTTGTTTTTTTACCAATGCAAGGATAGACTGACAGAGGCTTACAGATATAGCAGACATAGGCTTACAGACTTAAATAACAGTAAGAAATAGATGACATATTATATTCTCACATGATTGTGTACGTTTAATATATACAGTATGCATGTCCCCATTGATACCAGTGGTGCAATTCCATGATACTATTGGACAGGCTTTCCAGAATTGTTCACTCTTTTAAACTTAACCCGTATGATCCTAGATCAAGCAAATCAGTAAAGAAATTTTTCTAGTGCCAGTTTTGAGCAACATCTTTGCTGGATGAAATGGCCCATTAGATATGGATATACTGAGGGGAAGGTTACTTTTCTTATAATAGTTTCGGGCCATTTTCTTTCCTTTACTAGTTCTCATTCAGTCTGAACTTCTCAAATAATTGCAGGCATATTTGAAGCAAGCACATGATCCTGCCTGGTTCCTCCATATTCCATAACTTTATTCCCTTCCACGCAGAAGTCATTAAATGACACATTGCCAGAATAGCTTGGGAGAATGTTCAGCATTCCATTTTGATGCTGATATATTTAGGACTGCTTCAAGAGCTCACATGAAAGGAACTGGTCTCCTCCGCTGTAGCTAATGAAGATGGGAAGTTCTCCCATTCTGTTTCTCAACTATAGAGAATCTCATATAAAACAGAGGAATCTAAGGTTAACAAACTTGCTTTTTTCCCCTCCTATCCTTCCAAAATTACCCATAAGTTTCATTTTTAAAAAATATTGAAGCCTTTTCAGAAATAGTATGAGAGATCCGGTTAGGCTTTTAAAATGCTTACACATTTTAACATATAGCCATGGAGAAAGAGAAAATTACTTACCTCCATTAAACTGAAGTGAACTCCAATTAAATAAGGCATTGGTGCACTGAAATTAAAAGAAAAAAAAGAAATACATCATATACTAGAAAGATATAGAACTGACCTTTTATGCGAGTAAGCGTGTTTGCCAGCTCCAAATATTAAAACGCCCAAAAACCTGCAAGCTGGAAAATTCTGGTTCAAAACCTAGCTATCATTACAGCTATAAAGTAAGGAATAACACAAGACTATCTTGCAGAGCTGTTGCAAACCTTCAACAGCTCTCACTTCTTCAAAGTGTGAACTTTACAAATGGAAACGGCAGTCCTCTCCCAATATATTTTTCCTGTGCATGCAATTTTATATGGTCACTGATCCATCTTTCTCAGTGAGTCTCAGTATATATTCAGAGGACACCAACTGGATCATCCCCATCTACTAGTTACTATTTTGTACCTCCTACATCTATGCAATTTAATTATTTGCTTAATAAAATGTTGCTAATTGCACTGGATGAAGAAATCTCAGGGTGGAGATAAAACCAACAAACAAATCAATATGAAAGCACTTATTAGCACTTGATATATAAACCAAGATAGATAAAACAGATAAGTAAAGGAATAAAACGCTAAACTACCAACAGACTTGGATAAATCGTCAGGTCTCCATGTGATATTAAAAGAAAACAAATGCATGCCTCTCAGCCAGAGTTTTAAGAGAAGAGAGTTTCATAAGCCAAATAGAAAACTCTTGTCTCACATTTGCATTTCTTCCAATAAAGGGAAGGTGGAGGAAAATCCCTCTCATCAAATTTTTATATTTAATATTTAGGCAGGTGATACAACAGAGGCTGTCCTTTAAATATCAAGGTCCCCAACTGTTTTAAAGCTACCATGAATACCTTGAACGCAGATCAGAAGTGACTTCAGTTCCTGTAAAACTGTAATAAATTGGTCAGTTTGGGCTACCTAGCAAAATGGGAAAAATGAAAGGCCTTCGCATGATCTTCCTAAAAGATACAAAGCTTCTGTTATTTTATATCTACTACTACATATAAGAAGCCTAAAATAATCTGGCATTTTTGTAATGTGACCCCTCCCCAAACCTGAGCAGTTGTTACAGAGGAAGGGGCAAAAACAAACACATGAAAGCAGTAAGTGAGAAATATAGAATATTACAATGAACTGTTAAACAGTTTTGATCTGCAATTGTCCGTTACTGTTTCCATGTATAACTTTATATTATGATGATCATACAGTGAAATTGTACTGAAATCTAGCTGTATGTAATCTGTATCTTCAAACTCAAAATGTTGGGGTTTTATTTACTTTACCTAAATTGCTCTACTATATGAATAATATATTCTTGAACAGCAGTGGATTACACTAAAATAGCAAAGTGACCATGAAAATCTTATTCAGGAATTCTATTGTGTAAGAATTATGTCTTCTACTACTATATACCCTTATGCAAAGAAAAAAATGTTCTCATAGGAAGGGAAGGGAAGGGAAGGGAAGGGAAGGGAAGGGAAGGGAAGGGAAGGGAAGGGAAGGGAAGGGAAAGGAATGGAATGGAAAGGAAAGGAAAGGAAAGGAAAAGGATAAGGATTAAAAAAGGATTAGGCTTGATCAATACACAGCAGGGAAAAAGATGAAGTCTTGATGTATATTAAATGAGTAAGATTGACTAAAAATGCAACTGTGATTTAAAAAATATAACAACTGTATATTTGTAGATTTAGTACATAGTATTCTTTTACTTGTACATGTTGTGGTTTTTAGAAAAATACAGCATTATATCACTTTCAGTTTCAGCTTTCTTTCAGTATCTAACATTTTGGCCAGAGTTTTATCAAATTTGGTTCTATTTCTCTGTTTAGTTCTATTTATTCATTATTTCCCCAATGGGATGGAAATGCAACCAATGCTAAATACTCATAATTCAGCCAATAGCCACAATAACTATGTATACTTAAACTTTGTGTTGTTTTTTTCTTTTAGTTACAGTATCTAATAAAAATTTTCAATAACCCTTAAAACTTTTGCCCTTGTGGAAAATATTTTTTTTTTTGCATGCCTACATTTATGCACAATATAGGATACTCAAAGAAAATAATCTGAAATAAGTTGGAAGCATTCCCAGGATGTTCTTAAAATGTTTGTCTGGGTTTTTTTTTTAAATCATATAAAGCTTGCCCTGAATTTTACCAAAGAGGTGCCCATTTTGATGGTATTGATTATCTGTCGTGGCATAGTCTTTTCTCCTCAGATGCACGTGGCCAGCAAAATACAAGGGTCATAAGAGGGACTCAACAAGGGAATGATTTGCAACATAGGGAATGTGTATTGGGACCAATTTATGTCCCTCATTCATGACATGCATCATAGGCACAGATGACCTAACACCAAATTCACCTGAGAAACAATGATATAGTATCACAAACCAGCATGGGGTTCTTGGTTAAAGCAGATAAAGCCAGACTAACTAATTGCTATAAAGCTTTCCCACAAATATGACAATAAAACTTTCCTTCATACTTCTCTAATACACATTTTTATAATAAATGAAACAGAGATATATACAACCTAAATGTAATCTTATGACCGCCAGAGTGATATTATGCTACATACTCTATTATTCAAAATGGTACCAAACACATTGAGGAGGCTGAGTCAATAGTATTTTTCCCCATCTAATGATATTTCCCACCTTGTGAATTGGAACTACAAAGTTAAAATTAGAGATTTTATTCTGAACAGAATGTCCAGCCCATAAAACACTTACATTTGAACCCCCTTATTTTTGTGGCCCTCAGAGCTTTGGAAATTATACTTCCAGATTTCACCCTCACAAACAAACAAACAAACAAAATCCCACAATCCCAATCAATAAAAAGCATTGAGTTTTTTCAATAAAAAAATCATTTCACCCTAAATAAATGCTTCCAGAATCTTAATCCACATCAGCTTTTGTATAACACAACATTGCCATCCCTGGTGTCAACGCTGTAAACATTGGATGTTCCCACTCTGACAACTGATGAACATTGCAGCCATTTCCACTTTGCTTTTAACATGGTTTTTCTTCTTTTTAGAAATCAGGTGCAGAAGGGGGGTTGGGATGAATGCTTGAGCTCAGCTAGCCATGATAATAACACTGCTCTATGGGAACTCAAGGACGAACTGATAATGGTTTGGTGGGCTAAGGAGCAGGGGGAAAAGCCCGTGTTTCAGGCTAATTGGAGAACGTGATTTAGGACTGCTTATTGGGGGTGGGAATTGCAATTTGTTACTTTGTATCTGGGGAAGGGAATTTAGTTTTGGGTTCAACCACGTAGTGCCGATACTTTGTTTCCTGAATAAAACGTTCTTTAAGGAAGAATTCTTGCCTTGAAGTTCTTTTGATGGGTTTCATCTATCGGAACCATGACACCTGGCCTTCAAACAAGCAAAACAATAACAAAACAATAACAAAGCTTCCCAATGGCAAAGGTTTGCCACTAAGTACAGAACCAGTTTTGCAGTTTACAGCTTATATATTAGTCAGCTCTATGGTTTTGAATTGTAACATCAGTGTAAAATGGAGAATAATATAAAAAGTTGTAGACTTATAATTACAGTCGTGAATTTGGACTGGAAGTTCCTAGCTATGATGCTTTTTTCTAGATAAATCAGCCTCCTTTTTCATACATGTATAAACTGAAGTAGCAATATATAATGTATGACAAATATATATAATGTATGACTAAAGATATACAAATGATTCTGCACTTTGTACTGCTTTACAATTATTACAAATGTTAGGAGTAGTTATATACACTGACACCAAATTAGTGTAAGAATGATGAGATTTTTAGGTTCTTGGGAAGCATACCAATTTACAATAGAAAAGATGCCAGAAGTTCTTTTCTGAAACCCACTGAGCCAAACTGCATTCATGAAATTGTCCCACCCAAGAATGAAAATATGATTTCCGCACATCCCTCCTTTTAATTGTAGCCTCCTAAGAGGCTGAGGAAGGTAGTTGAAGACTCTTCCAAATCCACAAGTCATAGAGCAGGGAGTGGCAGAGAAAAATTAGCTCTGCACCCTAAAATCACATATTTCTCTTTGCCTATAGCCGAACTCTTATTATTTTATTTATTTATTTATTTATTTATTTATTGAATTTTTACCCCGCCCTTCTCCTTGCGGACTCAGGGCGGCTAACAGCCTAATAAAAACAAATACAAAAAATACCAAAATACTATCATTAAAAACATAATTAAAATGAAATATTAGATTGGCCTTTGTTATTTTAAAATTATTTTTAAAACCCCGCTAAAAATTACCCCTTAGGCCAGTCCTGCTAGTTGAAATAGCCATGTCTTAAGGGCGCGGCGGAAGGAAGGGAGATCCGGGATCACCCGGATCTC